GCTTTCAAATTGCTTGGCCTTGAACCCGTGTAAAGGAGTGACTGCCTTCTGACTCGGCRTGATGCTGAGTGAAGAGCTGAATAAAAGCTCCTGTGATTTGAGCCTGAATAATTCAGCGCAGTAGGAAAAGGACGAGCAGCTCTTAAAACACGAGAGTGAATTTGTGTCTGTCTTGCACTGCAGCTGCTGCATTTCAGGCCCTTCCAAAGCTTGGTTAGGAATCAAAATGCATTCTTTGCTACTACTGAAGCATAGCATTCGGCCTGAAAATGTATATATGACCTTTATTGTAGATACAGAAGATGATGTGCTGTTTCTAGAAGTGCTGTGTAGTTAACAACTTCACCTGAGAGGAGGTAAAGGTGGTTCAGCCTTGAGCTTCACAGGGAGTCCTCTTTGGCTTGGCCAATTGTTKGACAAAATTTTAACTGCTCAAGAACAAATTGCAAGCACAAGTAAGAGCTAAAGGAGACATCTTTTTTTTTTTTTTTTTCATAATTAGAGTACTTATTTGTAATTACTAGGAAACATTTGACTGCTAAGACAGAAGGAGCTTTCAAATCGAGCTTACCTGTTATTCATGAGTCTCCTCTTTTAAATTATGGTATCTATTATCATGTCATATTAGCATTTAAACCCGATGAAGACCTTGGAGCTATTTGCTCTTGGGGATGGAGAAATTCATTTAATTTGTGGTGTTACCGATTTCTAATTTTACTTTTGTGAATGGATAGTAAGACCAGATGGAAAACTGTAGAAAAGAATGTTTACCCTTAAAAATAAAAGCATTCATCTATTTGAAAATGTTACGGGAGGATTTTTGTAAACATTAAGGTTGGCTGAAGCCCATTTAATAAAAAGCAGGTTTTGTGACTGGTTTGCTCAAACATCATTATGCTTTTCTGACACTTCTGGGCAGCTCTTCTAGCTTGTCCTTAAGGTGCTTTTAGTGAATCCTCTGTGGGTATTTTCCTGAGAGTGCTGTATAAACAGATTTTAATGAATACGCAGACCTCATGGGCATAACCTAATGCGCTTCAGCTCGACGCATTTTCCATGTGGCCCAAAACCAAGAGACTCCTGTCAGGTTTAGCGTGTAGGAAACGCCAGAACGTGCAAAAAGACAGACAGGACCCTGCGCCGCAGCAAACCCTATCCCCAAAGCCTCTGGAGAACCAATGATGAAAGATTTCATTAGACTTAAATGCACTAATGAAATTGCTTAATGTAGTTATTCTGATTCTCTTCCACCAGATTTTGTTACAAGGAATGGTTTTCAGTGCCGGAATGGAAAAAAAATATTCCAGTTCACATGCAAAGCGTATTGTTAAAACCTGATGTGTTAAAGATAAAGTTCAAGTCTAAATAACGCTTAGTGCCAAARACTTCAGGCCAACCGACTGCAGCCTTCATTCTCAATATTTTAGCTCTGTCTTAAGTCAGAAATTTAAGAAGACTGCAGAGAATTTAAATATGTTTGAAAACTGAGCTTGACTTCAAATCAGTGTTAGGCTTCCTGAGAAATGGGCATTTTGTAAAAGATATTATAAATCTGTGGCTCTCCTACTGAGTTTTCATTCTCGCTAAGCCTGTTCTGAATAGGCAGTGCTGACCTTTTAACTCAGATAATATCAGTGGCCATATACATTGGGAGGTCTATGCTAGATATTATAGTCCTGCTAATAAAATGTTCTACAAATGAACAGAAATGTTAGTTATACACAGGAGATTAGCACCACCTTCCCGTGCCTCATTGCTTTAATATTCGTGTTAACACTAAACCAATATGTAGAATGTGTAGAACGCCTTCCTAAAGTGAGAAAGTGAACAAACATCCAGTGACTTTACAAAAGACTTGCTATCATTGTAAGGTTAATAAATATTTCCATTTTTTTTCCATTTGTTAGCACAATACAGTGTCAGGGAGTATGTTCTATGGAATGCCAACATTTACGTYATGGGAGAGTAGATTAGATCTACCAAAAGCAGGGAATTCAAAGTTGAGGTGGTTGATGCATCCTACAGCCTTACATGTATTATTGTGAAAAACATGTTAACAGTGAAATGACATAGCATAAATTAAGGATAGTGTGTGAGCCTTAAATCTGGAACATCCTGCCTTTTTCCAGCTAAATATGGCAATCTGTTTGTTTTAATAGGGAATAAATAAGAAAGGTCTATCATAAAAATTGCTCTTCAGCATATGTAGGTACSTTTATATATTTGGATTTTGATTTCTCAAAACACAATAGCAGATATGTAAGGTAAGGAAATGTGGCTCCTTGAGTTTGTCTTTAATTGGTTTCTGTGCTTTATTTAAGATGCCCCGTTGGTTGGGGAAGATCAGCCCTCGTAGCACCAGGCTGGTTTATGTGTCGTCGGTGGGTTGTTAGACCCTCCTTCGCCCCYTGGGGTAGTTGCTATGGCCTCTGCCTGTTTCGCTGCATCGTTGGCAGCTYTAGAAGGTGGTGGTGAGGGCAGAAGCTTGCTGGAGATGCCCCGTGGTGTGTGCCATGCTGGAGATGCTCTCGATGATGCAGCGCGGCCCTGGACAGGCCGCCCGCCGCGGCCTGCTCCGAGGGAGGCCGGTGCTCATTCCTAGCAGCGCTCACCAGCCGTGCGATTCCCCTCCGGGCTCTTAGAAGGACTTGTGAAAATTGCACTCGGCGGAGGAGGATGTATTGGGGGCTCTTTGGGTTATAAACGTGCTGTAGTCTCCTGCCCCGAGGCTCAAGAGAGACCTTATCGCCCTCTGCAACTACCTCAAAGGAGGTTGTAGTGAGGTGGGCACCAGTCCCTTCTCCAAAGTCATTACCAATAGGACAAAAGGAAATGGCCTCAAGTTGCACCAAGGGAGGTTCAGGTTAGATATTTGGAAAAAACTCTACATGGAAAGAGCGGTGAAGCTTTGGAACAGGCTGCCCGGGGAAGTGATGGAGTCACCATCCCTGGCAGCGTGCAAGAAACGTGCAGGTGGGGCGCGTAGGGACGTGGTCTAGCAGGCATGGTGTTGAAGGGTTTATGGTTGAACTTGATGATCTGGTAGGTCTTTTCCAGCCRTTATGGGTCTTTTCCAGCCATTAAGACTCCACGTTCCCGAGGTTGCAGGCAGTCAGTCTAACGCGTGGCGCTAGSGATGTCACAAGTGACTGAACAAACGTTGCCTGCTAGTGTCTAAGCCCTGAAGAATTTGTTACCCATTTGCAAAAGAGATCCAGCAACTGCGAATCGGAACCTTGGCTCCCATTTAAATCCTTTTTTTGTTTATTTAACATAGCTGCATTGGAAAGTCATTTTGGTGGTGTAGGATTGTTGCTATTGTATACAATCTTTATTATCCAGTTGTCTGGCTTATAGGTGAGACTCTTCATCTAGGTAGAGACTGAGGGATTTGGTGAACTTCGCTAGTGACCGTGTGTCCCCACAAGAAATATTTTACTTAAAAAATAATGGACTGTGAAGAATGCACTAGAGGAAACGAGACACAGAACAAAATGCCAGTTTTATGGCAATTGAAATTTATTCCTACTTGTCATAGGACTTTTTTATTTGTATTTATATACATTATGGATAAAAATATATGTGCATGAAAGTYGCACTCTGCACCTTTGGTATTTAATGACAAATTAAACAACATTTATCCTTTGGCTCTAGCCAAATTTTAAAACTTGGAGCATTTGCTTTCCCTATATTTATGTAGAAATTGTCCTAGTCCCTAGCAGCAAGATGGGGCACTAAGGGATCACGAAATGAGAATACCATTATCTAGCATTAGGCTAACTCAATTCACTGGGAATCGGTCCAAAGAGGCAGCTGTCCCAGAGAAAAGGAGCAACTTTCCATTCTCACAACACGATCCGGGATCTTTCAGCCAGCCCTGCATGAGTAAAGACGTGGGCAGGGTCTCCGGGGGGGAATTCTGCAAGATAGCAAGAAGGAAGGGGCTTTCCATAGAAATCCCACTAGAAATGGAGGGAATGGAAACTTAGGGAAACGGGGAATGGTGCATCGTTACTGAGGGGTGCTTGTTTTACATAAATGTGCTAACAGCCTGAGTGATCTGCAGGCTTCTGCTGAAAAGCTGCATGTTATTAGTTTGAAAAGCGATCAAATTTTAAAGGGAATCTGGAGGAAATAATCTTTTTCTGTCAGTATTAAATTGGAACAGCTTCTGTAAAGAAAAGAAACTACTTCAGAGGCTGTATTTACAAGCATGACATGAGCAGGGCTTATTTTGGGGTGTGCCTTCAGTTGGGTTTGGGGATTTTTTTGGAAAAAGTGATTTTTTTCCCTCTGGAAGGAGTGAACCTCAGATAGGGAGCACACTGGCTATGTTTACTGTCCCATTCAGGAGACAGACATCCCTCTCCCATTTGCACAAGCAAAACTTGCATTTGTTGGGAGAAACCTGTCAGAAGGAATGGGTTCAAGACTCAGGTTTTCTTTAATTAAGTAATTATATTGTGATAATTGAGTAAGTAGAATGAATCGTCAGCACGGATTATATASTTGGCTTGGTATTTTTATAAGCATGTGTGTAAGTGTTGTCTTCAGCTACCACAATATCATTTGCATTGCTTAGCAGACGACTACTAAAAATTCTTTAAATTGATCTCTGTATTGTTTTGGAATAATTAATATAAGTGAAAAAATATTGTACACAAGTTATCAGTAAAATGTGAGCGTGGCCATAACGTGGAGAAACTTAACATCTTGCTTTTCTGGGAAGAAGAGAGGCAGGGAAGATGAGTGGAGGTTTGCCTTCCTCTTAGAAGAGCCTAARACAGATACCACTTTTTGCTGTGAAATGTATGCGAGTGTAGCATAAATCACATAAAGCTCTGGATTTTCATTCTTGGAAGATGAGGGAGGTCACAGTAACAGTGTGTTTTGCTCACAGAATTCATCGATTTGCTGGTGAAGCAGCTGAAGGCTGGTATTTGTGTTGCCTGGATAGAGGAGCTCTATTTCCATATTCACCTTCCCTTTTTTCCCCGCAGGCTGCGAGAGCACCACCGTGCTGCGATTAAGGTGATCCGAAGGATGCAGTATTTTGTGGCAAAAAAGAAGTTCCAGGTGAGCTATGAATAGAAAGCACCCCCCAGAAATCACCTCATTTATTCCCCTGATTCCTTGCTCCTCCGAGGAGACCAACACGGTTCACTTTGGTAATGATGAGCTGCACTGCTGTTCTCTCCCTGCTTGAACAGGGTGGTGGCTTAGGGCAGGTTAGTCAACTGTGGATACACTGGGAATAGGTGAAGTCCTGCAATGCCACCTGAATTAAAACATTATTCTGTGCTAATGCACCTCACCTCTCRCCTTCCATTATCCTCGTCCCCCTCTCATGATACGGACATCTCGCCTGTCTGAGCTGAGGTCACTGTCATGCTGCATCAGGAGGATTGAGATCAAAATACTCCCCCATCCTTGTTCCTGTCTCTTCCTGGATGTTAATAAAGTCCTGATAAGAAACAGGAATGAAAATTTGTTAGTATGTTGGAAAGCTGCTGTTTCTTTGGACCTTGTCCCTCCTGCATAGGTAGGAGAGCTCCTTCACCCCCAGTTTCCTTCACTGCTGTAGCCATCGCTGCTCCAAGCTTCCCATGTCTCATTCCCCTTGTTCTGATGCCGATACCATAAGTATTTCACAGTGGCTAATTAACTATGTTGCGTGGCCTGCATAAAAATTTGTTCTTCCAGGTTTTCTAAGAATGTGGTGGTTAAATCAATGTAATTAATTTAGTTAAAAAAAAAAGTCAGCAGCCTTCAGACTGATTTAAACCAGATGACTATATAAATAAGAAATATATTATTTAAAATGAAATAATAAGGGGCAGTCCCTGGAGAACAGCCTGCACAACTGAAGATGCAAAGAAACRGGGTGGCTTAACTGCCTCTATCTCTTTTCAAACAGTACTTTGGCAGTAGTACTCACAGTAGATTAAGGATGGGAAAGCTTATTACTCTACACCACGCCAAAAAAAAAAAGACCAGCGGTGCTTCTTCCCTGAAGTATTTGAAGGGCATGGAGGTTAGGAGCAAAAAGAGGCTGATGCTTAACAGTCTGGGAGAGGGTCGTTTTTCTCAGTTGAAGATGTAAGCAACTTGCTTGCTGCTTTGCAGCTCGGACTCGCATCTRGAAGAATTGCCTGTGTTCTTTAGCAGCTGTCTATTTTCAGTCTTTAAAACTGGTGAGCTGTTCTGTAGCTGAGCTTGCCTGGCCTTATAAAAATTTCTTTCAGTTGTGTTTAATGTGTTCATACTGTAACCTCTTAGGCTTCAATCTTCCATGACAGGGAAGATTTTCTTGGATGGGACACTTTCAGRAAGTTTCTGTTGGAAAATTTCACCTGTTATTTTGATTAGACTAAAATCGAGAAAGACCCAGTGTTCAGACTGCTTGAAAATAATTTTTGCAGTCAGTTTCGGAGAACTCCTCAGTGTCTGGTAGTCGGGAGCTGTTACCTGGAAGGAGGTGTGTTCCACCCCTCTGATACGTCCTTGGCTGCTMTGTGAAAAACAGCCCAAATGTGGCCAGTTACATTAAACTTTAATTTACTYTCATTCTAAAACCCGCCTGTGATCCTTTGGTGCGCAGTAATTACTGAATCATTGCTCTCATAAATTCGGATCATAAAATATTTGCCATGGTATTAACTAAATTACTTCGAAACAAGAATCCTACACATTATATATCTGCCTCCCAAGTGGGATTTGTCAAAAACAGACTTGGAAAATGCCTGAGCGCTCCGTGCAACATTATCCACCTGGCAAATAAACGAAACTCCCCTGCGGCAGATGACTTGATAGAAGCTGAAAAAGCATTTGACTGAACAGAATGGGACTATTCAGTCCGTGCTTAAACCTTGTTGGTGCYCGGTATCCCCTGTGCTAATCTGGCTTCTCAGTTGTGCTCTACACTCCTCTGCAGAAGGAGCGCTCCTGGCCAGCTACAAAATCCCTCAGCGAGGCCGTCTCTTGTCCTTTTTAGCACTTTTGATTCATCCTGAGCTCTTAATATGAACTGATAACAATGAACTAAAAAATGTAAATGAAGCAGGAGGACTCTGCAGGTCACTACTACATGCAAATAATGCAGCTGTTTGTCAGCAGAATATTCCAAAGAGAATTTATAGGGAGATACCTGATACTTCTGCCTAATCTCTGCACACAGAGTTATAACCGAGTTGAAAAATTCAGAGAGCACTGAAGGTAGAGTTTTCCAAAGCACCTGCACAAGTTAATGAACAAAGTCACCTTGAAATTCTAGCCATAAGGTGCTTTTTTTTTTAATCTCCATAATTAAGAGATAACCACTATCATTATTCTTCCCTTGCGTGGATGTTGTAAATCTACTTTGTTCTATTGCAAGCACGTAAATAGTCATAAGAAATTAAAAATGTTTAAACGTGAGCCAAGTAATGACTACACAGCTTCTATGAGTCAGCGTAACAATGTCTGCTTTACTTGAAATAAAGCAGAATATGTGTTCTTAAAGGTTAATCTGTAAGTAATTTCAACTGTAGTCCATTGATTTATTTCTGTTTAAAAATAGCTGGGACGTAAATACTTGTAAATAGTTGCAAGGTCAGCAGCAAAAGAAGTTTGTTTTGTTTTGCTTTAGAGATGCATCTAGAGCTGCTGAGAGGGAAAGCGTAGGAAGGGGAAGAAAATGTCCCACAATAGGTCCCAGTCCAGCATGGGTCTCCAGCACAGTCTAATTCGCTTACCTTATAACTGGATTCAGAGGCCATGAGTGACCCATACTGGGTTATTTCCATTAGATAAATTCAAGGGTCAATAATATTCGTCTTCCAATTAAGAAAACTTCTAAGTTTCTTAAGACTTATGGGTGGACTTATGGCATATGGATAAAACTAGGATATCTAACACAGATCTAGAGACCAGAGATGTGGTCTGATTTCCCCATCATTGTCATTGTGAAAGATTTTGAAATGCTTTTTTCTTTCCATGTACTGCCTTGGCTTCCTGATGAGTTAAAGTACTTTCTTCTGATTTTCTTTTTTATTTTGTGTTGAGCTCTTCATATTGACAAATATTCTATAAACTAAAAATACAGCTTGTGGTTCCACCTATCACATGAGCAACTGTTGCCTAGTCTGTAACAATGTTAGCGGAAACTCCTGCATTTATAGCCTTATAATTCATCATCTTATGTAACTATTTGTCATGGCTATGAATCACAAATTCGGAGTGTAATCGTCTATAATCTCAACCCTAAGCTCTAGCAAACAATGCAGTTGAAAGTGCCCTGCGCATCAAAGGGTCTTAGGCCCATTTTATTTGGCTGCTGTTTGGTTACATTTCCCAGAAATTCCTCTCATGTTGATTCCCATCTCCCTTTGCCCGGCCTAACTCTTGGAGAGTTGTCTGTGCACGCAGCTGCTAGGGAGCAATACGCAGCTGTGCACATATTGGATGTTTGTCATTGGCTTTTGGGGCTCTTGCAAACTGTCTTTTTGTGTGCAGAGGGGGACGTTCTAACTCATTTAAGGTGATTTTTTTTGTTGCTTTATTTTATTTTCCATGACTTGGTTAATTAGCTGAGAGGTGAATTAATTTAGGGAGAGTTTTTGTTGGTGTTCACGTTTGTTTCTTCAGGAGTCATCCCTTGACTGTTGCAGCTTTTTCCTTCTACAAAGCTAACCAAACTTTTGGTTGTCAACATCAACATCATGATTTTTTCCTCTTGAAGGATCCGCTTTCAAGATGACGTTATYGCAACATAATCCGGACTGACTGTTACACATCCCTTCCTACTTGGAAATTAAACTTAATTCATAAATTCTGCATATTGCAGGCTTTCAGCCTTGCCATGCTTCAAAGAGATAGGCAGTTTGCTAAATAAAAACTGGGCAGTAACCTATTGCTTCTGCTATCAGACACCTGCATCAGAGCATGGGGAGTGCAAGATGAAGCCCTGTGTAATTATTCTCACTAAATTGCTTTTCGGAACCTGGAATTTTCAGGCTGATCTCATCAGACTTGTCTCTCTTGACTGAACAGCCATAACCAAGAAGTGGTATTTGTTATAGAACCATGTTTATAGTACTAGACCATGGACAAGACTTGCAGCTTTTGCCATCGCTGCTGCTTTCTCTGTGGATATTAGTTACAATTTCAGTGTGTGTACAAGAGTGTATATGGGCAGTTAGGTTTCTTGTGAATTCTTCTGGGTGCTCTTTGGTTAACTTGAAATTCTGTTTCTGTTGAGCTCTGTCGTTAGAGAGTATTTCAGAAGTGCTCAAGGTTGACATTTGGCTTTTGGGTATCTAGCAGAATGAAAGAAAACTTGCAAAATGAAATTATAACTTCAATGAAGAAGTAAATACATGGAGAGAGATTTTTAAATCAAGTAATAACTGGTAGGAGGCTGCAAGATTGACGTGGGGTTGTCTTCAGCAATGGGTTGAATCCAGACTATGAAAGTAAATGTATTTTAAATCAGAGCATTCAAAGATCTGACTCTGTCAGAATTGCCAAATTTCAGGGTTATCACATTGATTTAATTCTCACTTTGTGCAAGTAAAGAGCCGTGTGTAGCAAACGTTCCATGACAAACATGCTTGAAAAGGAGATCTAACTTGTTATATGGAAGAGCTAATGTTTTAAATGAACCCAGGCCAAATGAACCCACCTATCAAGATCATGCTGGTGCCTCCCTCTTCGGGCTGCAGGCCTTCTCTTTGCTGAGTTATCAAAATGGSACTCAGATGGCTTTTGGAATGGGCACAGCCAAATGGCAACTGTGTAAAACTGAGCAGGTCTTTGGAAACTTAGAATAAATCCTGGGAACAATAATCTGTAGGAAGATGGCAGCCGGAGCGAAGAGGAATTGCAGACTACCCTCTCTAAAGCAGGTAGCAGCCTCAGGTGTAGGGTACTGTGCTAAAGTGTGAGAGAAAGAAAACCTGACTGTGAATCAAAGCCAAACTTCCCAAGACAYGTGTGAAGCTCCAGAAATAAGTGTGGTAGAATTTCACCCTTTCCTCCCCTTTCCACATTTCTTGTATTGATCAGGTCTAAGTATGCACACATTGATAATAGGCCTGTACACCTCAGCTTATGCAATCAAATACAGCAAAATTGCATTCATGACCCATTCAAGGTGACTGAAAAGTAGGCTCTGTAATGCAAAATCTAGATGTTGGGTGAGCAGAACTATATTCTGTACAACTTGCCGTGAGACATTCACTCTGAAACCCCCAGCATAAAATGCTGTTACTTCTAGCTAAACTTTCAGTTATAAAATACTTCTTTTTGAAGGAGAGACACTTTATTATTATTATTATTATATCCAGGAGTTTGCAAATTACAGGCATAGGACAGTTGTTTCTCGCACCAATATTTTCCCAGGATTTGCAGGTAGATTTGAATGTGGAACCAGCCTTTCTGGAAAAGGAAATCAATCATACACCTTCAACCTGGGCTCTGGTTTTAGCTTCTTACATTAAGAGCTGAACCTTCTTATTGCTGACTCAGAATAAAGATCTGTGCAGGGAAAATACAGCTCTTTCCTGGCCAGTGGCCCATGAGTATAAAACTCATTTCTACAAGAAACTAGAATCACCACAAACTTTGAGAAAAGTGCAAGATAAACTTTTTCCTTTGGCCTCCAATTCTGATGATAGTCTCTTGAAGAGCATGTGGTAAAGCTGTGGTACCAAAAAAGGGGAATTAAATAGGGACCATCATTATTCTACAATCAATGTGTGAAGTATTTCAAATGTTTATGTTGTGTTTGGGTACACAGATTTAAAAAAAAAAAAGCTTTCCATTTTCTCCTGAAGACCACTCTGTCTGAACATGGCTCATTGGTAGGTTCCTGTGGCTCAACAAGTTTCTGTTTTCTGTGTTTTCACAGCAAGCTAGAAAGCCTTACGACGTGCGAGATGTTATTGAGCAGTATTCCCAGGGCCACCTCAACCTGATGGTGCGAATCAAGGAGCTACAGAGGAGGTAGGACAGTGAAGCTCCGCGTCCCTATCCATGGGCACTGACAGCCGGTGACGGCCGGTGCTAACAAGACAGCAACTAAAGCCATGCATCAAAATCTGATAGTATTAAAAGCAGTAATTTTGCAGTTATTTTGGTAACATTCCATAAAGTTACTGAATTTACATATGGAATTGAAGTAAAGGTTTCTATTTAGAGACGATAGAAATGGGAGAGGTTTTAAACTTCTGGGTATTAGGACCTACTGTTTTTGTTATATCTGTTAATATTGCCTTAGTGCACACTAGTTTGAGCAGAGCCCGTAACCTGCTCATGATGTAGGTGCTGTGTCCCAGGAAATGGGGCGCCTGCTCCGTTGGCATCACACTCCAAGTGTAAACAGAGCACGAGTGGTGGCAAGTCAACAGTCATTAAAAAACCTAACAACCAATATGTTTGATTCCTTTTTTTTAGTATTTTTAAATTTCCTGCCATTCTTAGCCCAAAATGGCTGTTTCATTTAGACTGCTAGGCAGAACTACTTGAACTTCATTTTTGTGAAACAACCTCACATTTCCAGCTAAAGAAAGGAAGCGTGTTGTTTCAGGCTGATCAAAGCTAACAATATTTCTTGCTTTTCTTTTTGTTTATTTACAGGCTGGATCAATCTATAGGGAAGCCATCTCTTTTTATCACTGTCTCAGGTAAATTAAGTCACACTCGACTGCTATAAATACCACAGCAAATACAAAATGTGAAGTTGAGGGCAATAACACTAAAATTGTGATGGAGAGCAGCATGAATAGCTGCTAAACAGACTGCTCCTTCTTTTTCCTTGCACAGCCATGTAATAATGTGGGGTTTTCCATGGCAGCCTCCATGGAACTAATACTTTTTACCTCTATGACTGTTTTAATCATCAGTCAGCAAGACTTGAAGCATAGATCTCAAACTGAATATAAGGGATGTGTCTAAAGATAATCTAATTAAGATATAATTAGTGAAAAATACTTGTAAAAACTTCTTATTTTGTTGCCAAATTTTCAACATTGCTAACCTGTTGTGGTCTGAAGCTTAGGCATTGACGGGAACAGTTAGCCACCATTACCCTTAAAATAGGACTATTTTTATTTACATATTTCAAGCGCTTTCAGTTTTCAAAATATTGGCTCTAATCTCTCTGAGACTCAATATGCTTTTCAATAAAACACCATGTTATTGTTGTAGGGTTTCTATTAAATCAATTATATACACACAGCAATGATAGCTTTGAGGAGAAGCTATAAAAAGAGCACAAGGTACTAAGGTGGTTTGAGACAAGGCTGACTGTTCAGAACTCTGTGAATGTCATTTCAGGCCCGAGTTTCTATATAATTTATAGGAAAAGAAGATAAAACATTATACAAGCACATTGTTCAGGTTGGCTGTGGAGGCTTTTGCACAGCGCCAGATTGTTTTAAACCGCAGTTAAAGCATTAACTAAACTGGGAACTGTTTTGTTCTTCTAGGTTAAAGCATAAAATTAAGATTGAAAMTGCCTTAAACCTAAGGGCTATTAAAAGCCATGGCTTGGGCTAATGCTATAAAAAGAAACAAAAAGCTGCTTTTAAGACATAAAACTACCATCCTGGCAAAGGTGTTCAGTTACACAGCGTTGGTGGGCTTGTTAAACACACCCTGTTGTGGCTTACTGCTATTTTGCTATAACACCATATATTAATTTGCAAATGTTTCTTGTTGCACAGAAAAAAGCAAAGACCGAGGGAATAACACGATTGGTGCCAGGTTGAACAGAGTGGAAGACAAGGTAGGCTTCAGTTGGGCTGGCTGTGAATGGGGACCTGGTATGTTCCTGAACAGAGCTCGTTTCATGGGATGGGGGGAAAAATACGGCTTGAAACAGAGTTGGACGCCTGGCTCTTYCAGGTGATGGAGGGTAATTTTTGGTATGGATTGCGTTTTTTGATTCTTTGTTGTCTTTTTAACAGAATATGAAAAAGCAGACTTGATTTCAGTCCCTTTTGGTATTCCTTTGGGGTTTGATTCGTATTTGTATATATTACACATGTCTCAATGTGCTCCTTCTTTCCTCCACAATAGATAAAAGGCTCTATTCCTTTAATACTTGAGTGTATTACAGTCACAGGATTTCCCTTTGATCATTGTTCTGTAGTTTGTGTAACTCCACCTACAATTCCATGGAGAGAAGGAGAGAAAATCTTGCTCTGKCTTGGTTTTCATTCTTGATGACAAATGGAGTTTTTGCTTTCAAGTGACATGAAGCCAGAAAAAGAAAATGTTCTATAATTGCAAATTAACAGTTAAGTTTTTTTGTAACCCTTTGTTTCAATTTATTTCAATGCTAGCTGTGCTTGGAAAATTAGATGACAGGAAGGAGCTATGTGATTACAAAGAAATACTGGTTTGCATATGTTGGTGTTAAGGAGAGAGAAATGGGTGGGATCATTTGTGATTTCTTGTCATGATTTCATGGTGGTGACTGGGGAGAGGGTAAAGAATTTCCTTAAGCTGAAAGTTGYTTTCACTTATGTGTCCTGTCTGTTAATTCAGTAGTGAACAGTCAGAGTTTGGGGAGAAAGTAACTTTCATAGTGTTTTTTCCACAAGTGGAAGCCTTGTATGTGGTAGCCTTGCACAAGGGTTTGTTCTGAAAAAATATTCCAACCCTGATCTGCAAATGGAAAGGAATGGGCAAGACATCCAGACTGTACTCTCCAACCTCTGTTGATTTGCTTGTGACATATCTGTTCTCTACACATTTCTCTGCAATACATATTAACTTCTATACAGGGGCAATAAATAAGAGGGAGCAGGTGTCTTCACCTCTGTGTAGGGTGACATTAAAGGGAAGTCTAGCAGAAAATATAAAAATCTAGGGCATTTTGCCCAAAGAGCATCACTGTGCAGTGCTCACTGAGGTCCATGGTAAGTGTACTTACAAAAAGAAGGTATTTCTAAAAAGTTTGGCTTATGGTTTTTTTTTTTTTTTAAATTTAATCTCCTCTGTCAACTAAAAGTGTGGAATGTGACAACACGTCTAGTGAGTGCTGCCAAAGGACAACGACTCTCCTTGTTGGACAACTAAATCTCAAGTTAAAATAGATTCTTGGTGCTGTCTGTAAAATCTCAAATGAACCTGGAAAAACTTCAGTGTTGTTCTGGCTTGGAGTTAAGCTACTTTGGTTACTTTGGTTATTAATTACTCTGGTTACATCCTTACAAATAAGTACACCATGAATTTATAGTGACTGTTGTTTTATGCCTTGTAATGGGTCTGTAAAACACYCCGCTTCATTTTAGCGTGTCTGGGTTAAACTTTAGTCTTGTTTTAAGCAACAGGCCCTTCTTTCCTTGTAGTTACATGAGCTCATCTGTGGTTTCAGGTTTGTATGTTATCTGACCCATACGGCTAGYCCTATCTGCAGGAATTTTATCTGAAAGTAGCTGAAAGGCTAAAAATAGACAAATTCCCTTGGAGCAGGCAAACGGGTGGTATTTTTGACAGCACATGACAATGGTGAAATGGCATTTTTGCTGYAGATGGTGGCCAAAATTGGGTTTCTGCATTCTGAGGTGGCCACCTTTTCTTCTCTCTAACCTCTAAGATGTATGAAGGGCTTTCAGCACCCCACTGCAGCCCTGCAGAGCTGCTCGCTGTGTGAARGATGTGCCGTGTGTTTGTAGGCCACCTGGATGTGCTGCTTTTCCAGTGCTCCTTTGTCAATGGGCATCAGCAGCAGGATGCTGCCTGGGGTATGGCTGAGGCCACGTTGGGTCGCTAGTAAAAGGTTCTTTAGTTCCACGTTGGGAGGAACAACAGAATTTGCTTCATGTACCTGTAAACAGCACTCTCCATGTTGTGAGGGAGTGAAATTTTGTGATTATGTGTGTAGCTTGTGAGAGTGTAATTAAAGATGGTTTCATAACATACAAACACGAGGGGCATGGATTAAGGTTGCAGCAGCAAAAAAGCCTTTCTAGGCATTTTTTTTCTCATGTTAACAAGTAATTGGGAAGCAGAACCTGCTGCAGCTGCCTAAGAAGAGCCCCAGTGCCCTCACTTGGGTGCTGCCCTTGTCCTCCCTGCATCGCGGCTGGCGGCAGCGCGTGCCGCGTCCCTGTGGAGCGGCCTGGCCCTGGCTGAGGGCCCCGGCTCCGCGCCCGTCCCGCCCCGTCCTCTCCCCTCGGGCGCGCTCAGGTGTCACGAGCTGCCCACAAAGTAGCCCCGGCCCAAGTGGGCGCGCTCAGATAAGTCAAGCTGGGCCCGCGGGCAAGGCCCGCGAGCAGGATCAYGGCAACAATCCAACTGATCTGCGGCGACCGGCATTTTTTTCCCATTTATCCCGAAACATCTGCGAGTGCCTATTCGAGCTCCCCTCAAGAAACCTGGCCGCTGCTGGCTCGCTCCCAAGCTGGGAATCCAAAGCAGTTTCCCAACGGGGCGCAGCTGTGTGTGCACCCTGCCGCTGATCCGTGCGCAGGGAGCCAGCGGCCGGGAGCGCTCGGCACGAGGCTGCGTCTCCTCCTTCCGTGRCTTCATCTTGACTGCAGCCATGGCCACAGTTAAGCGCCTCTTCTGCAGCTACTTGCAGATGATCACGTCGGGCATCGCAGGCCCGGCTTGTGCTTTTGTGGCCATCCCGTAGGCTTGGTGCTTGGCTTCCCTTGGATAGTTCAAGCTTAGAAATGGGCGTTGTAGCAACTCGTCAGGAATACACTGGGAGGGCAACAGAGTCATCCCAAGCAATTTTCTGGGTGCCCTTTGTGCACTCAGATCTATGCTTGTACCTGACAATAATTAAGTATAGATATTAGTATTAGCAAGGTCACCACTAACATTCTAAAATATTTTTTCAGTTCTATGGACCATTAGAAGTAATCCTATCTACTGCTAAATTTGAAGCTGCAGAGATCTAAATGAAAATTTCTGTTTTTATACAGAAGTTGCATAGTAGCGAGACACATGACACCCCTTAATGTGAGCCTAACAATTCTCCAAAACAATATTCATTCCAAGTATATGCACATATTGCACGCTTAAATTTGAAAATATGATCCCTTGTACTTTGAGTAGTGCCCAAGAATGAAATGCAGAAATTCAATCATGCTGTGCAGCACTGAACAGGGAATTGTTTTACTTTTTTATATTTAGTTTACAGGCAGCTTGGACCACTTTCTAAAATATTTTTTTTTAAAAAAGTGTAAAAACATCTACCCTAAAATAGATCCTACTGTGCTTCTCAAGTTACCCACTAGCAATCAGAGCTGCTCTTGAAAAGCAAGGTCTGAAGGGAGCTCTCTTGTTTGGGCAAGTATGCAGTTGTTCTTTTAACTTCTAGCTAGAGTTATCTGTTTCTTCTCTTTTTCCACCTACATTGTCTTTGTTAAATGCATAGATCCCACATTCAATAAAACCATAAGTATATGATGTGTGATATATTTTTCACTGAATGCTCCATACAAAAATGGATGCACATACGGGGGTATTTTTGTAGCTTAAAGATCTTCCCTTCATTGTTTTTGTAAATAGGTAGAAGTTAAAACACTTAATGCAATTAAATGTTAACATCCAGCCTTCATCTTGTCTCATCATTTAAGCATATAACTTTTTCCTCATACTGAGAGCTGAAAGCTAACAAATTCATGACTTTTCTCAACTTTTTATTTTTTTTATGGACTTGAATTCTCTTTTGGTGTCCTGCCTGGGAGGTTTATCCTAAAGAGGAGGGTTAGGAGGTTTATCTGYTAGGTCAGTTTGCTCTATTCCATTTCGACTCTGCTTGCACGTAGTTCCACCATTATTAAATCTGATGCTTTACTGTATCACAAGTTAAAGTGTAATCATACCATTTCCAATAAAGAGCTCGCAGTGCATCCAAAGTAGGAAGATTTAGGACCTGCTGCAGAGCCTGTTCAAGTTGATCAGAGCCTCTCCTTTGACTCAGCCAGCTTTGAAGCCAGCCTTTTAATCAACACATACCGGAGTCGCAGTGATCCAGCATTCCAGCCTCGCTCCATCAGGGCCGGCAGAAGCACTAAGCTCTATCACAGCTGTCTGCTTTTGAGAGGGGTTTTTTTCCCCCTTTTGGCTGATGTGCAATTTTGCTTAGAAACATGGAAGTGTTACTTGTTTCACAGCCTTTCTGTCCCTGGAAGTGGCCCTYGGAGTCTGTGCACGTGTGTGTCTTGTTACTGGGTGCGCTGTGTCTGGCTGCACTGTCAGCGTATGAAAAGGCTGCAGTGTGTGTTAAGTAGCCAGAGAGAGAGGAAGGGGGTTTAGAAGAGCTGGAAGCTGCTCCTATTGCTGGGCTTTGAGTCCTTCCTCCTCCTAGTTTAGATCAGCCAAGCTGCTCTTGACATATCCATACACAGCCTGAATAACGTCATTGATACTGTCATTTAGTTCCTCTCTTTGGCCCCGTGTTTCATAGGGACTTGCTTAGACTYCTGGGCAGTTGTGATCCCCGTCCTTGGAGTCATCCCTGGAGGTGTGAGGACAGTGYGAGTCCAATGGAAATGCCACGGGAAGGACTTCTGTGCAGTGGGATTTTTTAGATTGGAACATTGGTTGATAACTGGGCTCTGACTCTTCCTGTTCTCATATGCTTTGCAAGTGGTCATTATTTTTAAAATGTTGTTTCTTTGGGGRRAAAAAAAAAATCAGTATTCTAAAAGCAGGTGATTTTTTTCATTTTAATTAGAAAAGTCTTATTTCAACTACCGCCTTCTGGGCTAAARAGTACTTGTTTTCATGTTGACCACTTTTTTGCCTAAAGATGATTGAAGT